AAAAAAAAAAAAAAAAAAAATACCTTGCTAGAGAAGAACGCTTTGCCGAGACCGTAGAATTTTTTCGACATTTTTTCGGGGTTTTTTGGACGTGCGTACGAGTCGTTGAAGTTACGGTTTTAGAGAGATAGAGAGTTTAGAGAGAGAATTCAAAAATATAGTAAAGGGTATTTTCGTAATTGGGGGGGGTGACTAGTAATAGGGGGACGGTAAGTAGCAATCCACTTAAAGTATTACTAGTACGAAGTATTACACGAGTGGTTGTTAAAAAATTATTCTTAAATTTTAAATAATGAAAAAATAAAATTAAATTTAGTTAAAAAAAATATATTATTATATATTTTAGAATGATATTGTTACGTATGACTTACATGTGTTATATTATATTAGTTATTATAATTTATATCATATAACTACGGTTTTTCTAATTAATATTAAAAATAATTTTATTATTGTTATAAAGATAAATATAATTTTTTTTTTATAATTAATATTAAAAATAATTTTATTATTGTTATAAATAGGGGTGTTCACGGTCCGGTTTTAACTGAAAAAAACCGTCAATCCGGACCGTGGATCGGTTAAATGGTCGGTTAAAAAAGCCTTAAAAATTCTGGTGGTTAATTTTTTTCAAAATCTGGAATAACCGGTCCGGTTAGCGGATTACTTGCGGCAAACCGCCGGTTTAACCGGACCGGACCGGTAAATATTAAAAACTTATAACAAATATATATATATATATATATACATTCAGTCATTCACTATTGCCGACAAATACAATACATTCACTTTCACTTTTTGGCATTTTGTTGACTTAATTTTGTAAGACACTATAACTTTTCATTTTTTCCCACTTTCGTTTTTTTCATTTTCAAAATTTTCCACCTCCTCTTCCTAATTTTTTGGGACGAAATGTGTATTTTTATGCTTATAAGACGAATTATATATTTTTTATTTCATCATTGTTGTTTTTCTTAATTTTTAGGCCCAGATAATCTCTTTTGGGCCTAAAATTGAAAAATAAAAATTAATTCCAAAATTATAAAAAAAAAATATTGAAAGTCTAAAACAAGGATTTTGGATTTAACCGGTTAACCGCCAAACCGGACCGTCCAATGCGGTCTGGATTGTGGCCGGTTAAAAAATAAAACTGGTCCGGTTATGGACAAGAAAAAAATTAACCGTTAGGTCCGGTTTGGTCATGGTTTGGGCTAAAACCGGACCAATCCGGACCGTGAACACCCCTAGTTATAAAGATAAATATAAATTATTTTTTTTATACATACAATATGGATGTTAAATCGAAATTCATCAAAAGAAGATTAATTTGATATATTACATATGTAAAACTGATAAAAAATACAAAAGTTATTAACTTTTAAAATATATATACAATTCAATAGTTATAATAAGGAATGATATTAAAATACAATTAATAAATGTAACATGACCATAAATAATCGACATATTTATGGTAAGACCGAACCTAATTATTTTTTGTTTGAAATTAAATTAAAATTTATCCAACCCTAATAACGAAGCATGTAATTTTGCCACATGGAATTCCGAAGCACCAGAAACAGCCACGCAGGCTCAGTGCGTTCTGTATTAATATATAGGGGAGGGGATAAGTAAATGTCGATACAATTAATAAGGGGAAAGTTTCTTTTACACCACCATATACACATTATCTTTCTTTTACACTGTCTCGTAAAATACATCTCTTTTAACCCCAAACCTCACGAAATGATGTGCTATGTAAAACTCAAATATCCAAATGAGTTGCATAATTAACAAATATTTGAAATATTATCGCATATCTATGTATATCTAAATCGGACAGACAGTTAAATTTTATGTAAAATAATTTTGCATATGTTGTAAGTCACATAAAAATTCACGACATAAATTTCGATATGCGAAGTTATTTCGCATATATAGTTATCAAATACTTAAAATTGATAGCCGTGTATTTTAAAATATGCGACATGTTTTCTCATAGATTTATAAGATATATGCGTGTAGCTCAAACTTATGAGACATTCCCAATGCTCGACCATGGGGATAACTTGACCGTATGACAGCTCGCACAAGATAGCAGGTGATAGCTCAGATAGGTGATAGAAAGATCAGCATTAGAGTTGTAAATGAACCGAACGTTCGCGAACAAAGGTCGTTCGAGTTCGTTCGTGTTCGACAAAAGCTCGTCCGTTTGTTAATCGAGTCGATTTTGAATAGAAAATTAGGCTCGTTTGAAAATCGAACGAACACCAGCTAATTTAATATAATTTTATTTTATTATTTATTATTTATATACTATTTTTATTAAAAAGTCTAAAATTTAATATAACTTTATTTATTTTCTATATATTACATAATATTTTTAATACAAAATATAATAAATAAAATTATTTTTATTCTATTATTTTCTTTTCGAGTTCGAACAAGTTCGAACGAAAATTTTTCGAGTTAATCGAACATATTTAAAAAGTTTATGTATTAAATTATTCGAATACAAACGAACTCGAACTTTGACGAACAATTAAACGAACGAACTCAAACACGATTTTTTGCTCGAAAAATAAACGAACGAACACGAACACTGTTCGAACGTAAACAAACATGAGCTTGAATAGCCCAAGCTCGGTTCGGTTCGTTTTTACAACACTAATCAGCATAGCAGGTCGAATCTAGGTTGTTAAATAAAGGATATATGTAGGGTCATAAACAAATGTAATAGATGATAGGAAGGATTAGAAATAAACCAAATAAATGACGGGCAGACCTACGTGTAACCTAGTAACTGACGAGCAACCCCTCAAGCAATACGGTCACCCGGGTAGGGCAAAGATTGTTGAAGGCTGCAATAACTCCCTATAAATAGGTTAGGTTTAGAAAAGTTAAAGGTTAATCAAACTTTATACTCTAAGGGTCAGTTTGGTTGCACAAATTGATTGGGGTTGATACTATCAATAATGCAAAGGCCCAACTAATTCTTATCTCCTTATCACACCAAAACCTTTGTTTGGTTGTTATTTTTATCTACCAAAATATAAGGCCTATATCCTATTAACTTGTTTGGTTTAAAGTATTTTTATACACAAAAATCATATCGCTACATATTTTGCCTTTATTTTCACTTTGTTCCTAGATTGTCCTCTGTGTTACCCCAACTTCCCATACAACATTCCATAACTCAATTACTGAATTGATCATCGAAAGTTTAATGCTGAAAACACCTCCCGGTGTCTTTGCAGGTCTCCGGAGAATAACGTAATTGAAGGATCATGGAAAACCTGCTCGAGATGCGAGAGCACAACATAAACCATTGGATGAAATCCAAGTTGGAAGAGTTATCGATTTTAGGTTTATCTTCTTATGGTGCACGCGGCCCTTGCTTTGTTCGCTTTCTCATTAATAAATATGCTCATCTTGTACGTGCATTGCCTCTTTGCCTTATAATTTAAAGTTGTCTTCTTATGATGCATGCGTCCCACTTTTTTTTTTTTTTTGTCGAAACGATAGAATGATATAAATAAAAACACATATGTACATTTATACATCAACTAGAATTAGCCAAGCAACCATCCAACTGAATTTAGTGGGAGGACTACACAAGTGTACCCTAGGACTTCTACACTAATTCACTCACAATACAAAAAACTATACACCTCCCACAAGGAAGAAAAAAAAAACCCAATTGGGAGGAAGAAAACACGAACACAAACTACACAGAAACCCAAAAAAAACACTAATAATACTACTAAAATACAATAATGCCCTTCCCGCAACCGACATTCTACAGAGCTAACCAAGATAGCAACACCCGCGGCCGACCACCCACACACACAGAGTCGCGTGCCAAAAAGCAAATCCAAAAACTGCCACACAAAGCCTGCCGAGCTTGACAGCCACCGCTTTTTAAGGAATTGGATCAGCTTTGGCAAAAGACCATAACGCCGTTGAGGCGTATCGATGCCACTTTCGTTTCACGAGCTCTATGAAATCCTATGGTCATATCTTTATTCTAAGAAGGGCTATGCCAAGGCGGTCGACCCTAAACCCGCAACCGAAGGTCCACTTCCCAATCCACCCAGCCTTACCTCTCGTATTCTTGTTGCTGGTGACTTGTAGTTCTCCCCTTGGTGGCCTTCTTTGTAGGGTTTTACCTGATCATCTCTTTGGCATTCGAGTAGCATGCTTGTATAATTCGTTGATTAGCCTTTGTGCTCTTCTCGAGTGTTTTAATGAAATTGGCGTTTGAAAAAAAAAAAAAAATATGGAACCAGGTACCAAAAATGCAACCCTTGCTCCGCTTGACATAGAATATATAAAAATAATACATAGATTCATGGTACCTCTAAACTGTCGAGCATTGCCACCCTAAGCCGCAAAAACAACCATTATGTGTATAACAAACAAATACATGGATTGATGATTACAAGCTCAACTATCTACGTTTCTACGTTTCTTTGGTATAAACCAGCTATGAGTCTTGATTCACGGCTCTAAGAATTTTCCTCTACTAGAGCACTACCATCGGAGCAAAACCTGATAATAGGGCGTCAGGAGAGGAAAATTCACAAATGCAAATGCGTGGTTTCACTAAATCGAACCACCCAACCCGAGGTTAAGTCGAGCCAAAATCCGATTCTTACCAGAGCAGATTGTGATATGGAAGCCGGTTCAGTTCTTACATCATCATCATCTTCTCTTTTCCTTGTTTAATTCTTTTTTCATGCATTTTCTTTCTCTAAATGTTGCAAGTCTCATAGCTGAAGAGCCAAATCCGGCTGCTGAGAATCAAGTAGCACCCCCGACGATGGCTGCACAGGCGACCCCGATGACTGAAACCCAATATTCAAATCCGGAGGAAAATTGTCCTGCTTCTGCCTCAGCTCCATTTGGTGGCTGATACCCCGCCATGCAGGCGGGTGCATCATCAAATCAGAACCTGCCAGCTGTGGGAAAACCAAACGCTGATTCTGAAGCTGCACCATCTGATTGCCTCCCACCATAACCGGCATCTGCCCTTGCCCTACAAAACCATAAACGGGCGAAATATTCGAAATATTCTTCTCCTGTGTGTGTTGCTGTTGCAGCAGCCTGGGAGGAGCATGAAACTCCCCCTGGAGTCTCCATGCCTGAGAATGCATTTCACGGGTGGAGTTATTAAGCGAGCCTGAATGTATCTTGTTCAAGTTCTCAGCAGTTGGTCTGAACCCTCCAGACCCCATGGACATCCACGCACGTGCAGCAGATAAGGCAGCATTGTTCGGGTCGTTACCTGTGAACTTCAGGGACGGGGACAACATTTGAGGAGCATTGGGGGAGGATTGGTTTGGAAGCTTGTGCTGGTTTTGGCGAGCCTTTTCAGACAGCTGTCTCATTTGTTGGACCGGGTCGCTTAGGCCCGGGCCCGGTTCATGGTGAGGATAATAGCTCACGGATCGACCCAAATCAGGGTAATTGTTAGCTATTTTCCCGTCGGGTACTCTTTGGAAAGCGGGCCCACTGGCGTCTGGCTTCTTTATAAAAGGTTCGGGTGGAGGGAAGCTTTTGTTTCGAGGAGATCTGGAAGCTTCTGCTTCTGAAGTTCTGGGAATCTGTCTGCTGCCGACGAGGTCAGCTGAATTCTTATGTACTGAAGGAACACCGTTAGACTCAATGTGCCTCGGGAAGGAATTATTATTGGTTTCGGAAAAATCCCTTGATTGGAAACTTTGATTGTGAAGACAATTCAAACGGGCCCCGGGAGATAGGAAGAAAGGCGCTTTCTTCTCCGGAATATTATTCCCCACAGTTGGAACAGTTATGACAGGAGCTCGTGTTTTGCTCACGGGAGGGTTAAAACATGGCAATGTGGCTTGGCTTTCTGAGATCAAATTAGTAGGCGTATTTTCTAACGTCTTAGGATGTGCAGTGGGTTGCACTTTGGCAAAATAAGGCGGTTCTTTTATTGGGCGATTTTTGAGCATTAACACGGGAGTTGGAAGTGGCTCGTACTCTCCGACCCAACCCTTGCCGAACTTGCACCCTTGGGGCAGAGCCTCTTCAATCCTCTTTGAAGCAACTCTCCAGGCAACAGACCCCAGGGTCGCCGCAAAATGGGCCAGGCTCCTCGCGTATGAATGATCTGCGTACAGCCCTACCTGATTTGTAGAAATGAGAAAAAAATAAAATATAAACGAATGCTAGGTAGGAACAATAAGATGTAAATTAACAATGGTTCTTACAGGAACCAAATGCTTGGTTTCGCCATCAAAAGTCGAGAAAATCGAGTCTGGGCTGACCACTACTTCAGATAGAGAGATGGCATATGTTGCGCGCCGGTTTTCGTCAACTAAAGAAGGTTTTCTACCAATTCGAGACGATTGACCCTTTCCTAAAAAGAGAATCCATTTGGTTTACCCAAAGTTCAAAAGTACAAAAATTAGAAAACTAAACAAATAATATAATAACAATAATAACAAGATGTTCATCTCTAAAATGGTATCGTTTTTACTCAACCAGCTGCTAGTCATGGTACAAGAGGTTTAAATTTCAAGATAAAAAGAGACTCAATAGACACAGTACCTGGCAAAGATTCTTCCATCTTGTCCAAATTGCTATCGTTGCCAAATGAATTATCCTCGGCAGGCCCATCAACAATATCAGGTTGTTGAAGTGCATTTGAGACAGTATGATCATCACCAGCAGTTGCGAGAGTGGCCCCAGAGGAGAAATCAGAGCCCACGGGTTCTTGCACCATTTGTCGACCAATAGGACTTTTAATCTGCTTCTTCAAAGTAGAGGCAGGTCTCGACTTCTGTTCGGGTTTAAAATCATTTTTTTCCATGCACTCCATCTTTAATTTTAGCTTTTCGAATTTCCTTTTCGCCAGCTCTTGGATGGTGCGTGCCTTGTCAAATCAAGTAGAAAGATGAACAGCTGTTCGAGCAAAAATCATAACAAAGGAAAACGAAAGCGCAAAGGGTCTTTACATGTTTGTAGTATACGGTATCCGGTGCATTGTATTGCATTGCGTTTGAGCAAATGAGAAAAACATCTCTCTGCATGACATGAAACAAATATTCACGGAAGATAAAAGGATTAGTAATAAGGCAACAAACTTTAATAACACATTGATATCATAGTCTTAAATGGCCAATGGCGATCCAAGGCAATTTGCCTATCGATGGCCCTGAGGAGAGTCGCGAAGCCTCACCAACATAAGGCAACAAACCGAAAAAAAAACAATTATATTGATGGTGCAATTACATATTCAAGATCAAATGGAAAAGTCAACCTCAAATACCCAAATGTAAAATTAAAAACAGAAACGTAACATAAAATTAGAACCAGAAACATGACATTTTACAGAGAAGAAAATAAAAATAAAATAAAAGGCAAATGATAGAAAATTAAGACCGGAAACTAAACTAAAAAAAAACTAAAACCAGAAAAAGTAAAAGAGAAACAGAAAATGAGAAGGAAAATGATGAAATGGAAAAGAAATAAAGACAAGAAATCAGCTGACCAGAAAAAGAAAACAGAACACAAGAGCAAAAACAAGACACGGAAGGGCAAAAGACAACACAAAGCAGCGAAACGCTACGGTGGCAATTGGATATAAGTTTGATTTATCAATGTTTATTTCGCTGAAGTCGTGAATGGAAACAAACAATTTCTGGAAAAGTTCTATTCATTTCATCTCATTTTTATATTCTCTACAATCCTCGAAACACAATTAAAGATAAAACCCAATCAATATCATATTTTTTCAACAAAAAACCACAGTTCATCTACTCAAATATTTCCAACTAACAATCATTACCGTTTAATATTTTATCATTCTCAAACCAAACTAACTCTAATCATTATCTTTCTACATTCACAAATCCAAATGATAATTTTTCTTCTCCTACAACAACTTTTACTTTTTCCCACATTTCCATGGAAACTAATTTTTTTTGGGGGGAAAAGAAAAAACTATTCCAATGGTAACCTACGTATCTGGGGTCAACAGTAGCCCCACTCAGAGATAGCAGTCAGAAGTAAGAGGAAGTCGGAAATGGGATGGGCCGGCCAGTGGTCCTTCCAATTTTCAGATCTAAGTTGCAATATTGGATATTCAGCCCTAATCGTAAAAGCCCTAGGTCTTGATTGGTTATACGGAATGCTATTTCTTGTTCGTTTGACGATATGAAATAGGAGAGGCGCCCCTCTCAGATACCTTTAGCAAGAAGAAACAGGACACCTTCTAAGATAAATTTGTATTTCTTAAGCATAGAACAGTTAAAGAAAACATCTGAAGGCATCCTGCGAGAAAGAAAATCGGGGGACAAGCAATTTGCACTTCAACTGAATGTTCTAATTAAATCCAATTTCGTGTTGGCTATAAGGGGCCATAAGGAAAAAGATGCCAAAGCCAAATCTAGAACATTGAATAACTATAACCGTACAAGAGCTAAAACATCTTAAACAGTACATTTGGCCTAGTTGCTTCAAGTCGGTCTAAGATCAAAATACTATCATTTATCACATCACAGTTCTCAAGTTCCAAAAAACTATGACATATAAGCATCACCACAACTTAAAGTATAGGCAAACAGAAGAAGAAAAATTGAAACTTCAAAGTAGATCTCGTATTGTGCTTCTCCCCTTTCAAAGACAACAAAACCATTTGATATGCAATGAGAAACAAATAGAAGTTGAAATATAATAGTGTTTACTTCACCTAGGTTAAATAATTAACTGCAGAAATGAAGCTCCTACTAGAAAAGCACTAGTTTATTGCAGAAGCGGGACACTCTACAGCAAAAATGTGGCCCCAAAATTTTCAGCAACCAGCAAAAGATGAAATACTATTCACCAAACCATACACGAACTCATAAAGTTTATTATATAGAAAATTGGGTATCAGTTTCATCTCGATTGGTGCGGGTAAGCTCAGGTCACAAAGATTCAATGAGATGAACAGCATAGTGAAACAGAAAAAGGAGCAAAGAATTATCAACATGATACAAAAAAAAAAAAGAAAAATCCACAACTGGTTGGTAGTAGTTTGCCGAGAAACCCATGCTTCCCATATGCAACAGCAAACCAAATAAAAGTGCAACAAATTGAAAGGGAGAGATACGAGAACAAGAAAAAGAGCATTGAGCAAACTCACCTCAAATTGTTCAAAGGTTGCATATGATCCATTTCCCAGCTTGTTCCTCACGGTAGTGAAGTCCATTGGATGCTCTATTATATCATGATAATCCGGAAGCTAAACCAACAAGAAAATAAGTTAATCGAAAACTCTAATTTACAAAAACATAACCCAACCCAAAATTTAAACAACATTGCCTAACAGCAGCTACGTACTTCTTCAGGATCAACCGGTTCTGCATAAACGCCATAAATATCCTTCCTGCATGAGACACAGAATTGCAACACTTTCAGCTCACAGAAGCCCGTTTATGAAAATCTCAAATGTGTACACAATTCATATCAAACTAACAACATACTTCTGAAGCTTGTCCAAAATTAACTCCAAGGCCCTCTTATCAGGCAGCGGGAGCCCAGATGGTCTCTCGGCTGGTGTCCCTACAACATTCATGACACAAACTCAGCCAAAATTTTATAAAACGGAAAAAAAATAAATTAAAAAAAAATCAGAGTTCCAGACTTCCAGTACCAACACTTATCCAAAGGCATGAAAAAAAGAAAATGTTTCGAAAAATAAATAAATAAATTAATAAAAGATTCTACCTGGAGGTGACTCCTCTGCTTGGAAATCCGGCTTTCTTGCTCTAATCTGTCATAATCAGCAAAAGCATTAAGACTCCAAATCCACCCATTAAAAGAAAATGATAAAAACCCCCCCAAAAAGTGTTGAACTAATAAATGCTACTCGAAACTCCCTATCCAGCTTATTAAGGACAACTAAAAAGTCGGCGCAGGAAGCAACAGACGACATGTGTGATGTGAGCGGGTAACGTGAGTGTGCGTGCAATTCAAGTATTCAACAATGAACATCGTTTGTTGCATCGTGGTTGTTGAGAGAGAAAGGGACAAAGATGGAAGTGAGCTGAGATTCTCTGGGGTTAGTTAAGAGTTGCCCCCGACTGCTGCATATACGTAGACACCAACAAACTTATTACTCTCACACACAATATACACTCTTCTTTGCCTGGACCAATCAGTATTAAAAATTTTCATTCAAACTACAGCTTAATTGAAACATCACGAATTCAACAAAAACGAAGCATAAATTTATGCAGTTCATTCCAATATTTAAACTCTGCCAATTCAAGCGGCGAAAAAATCGGAAATATACCTTCACCTCTTCTTCTTCTTCCTCTTCCTCATTGTAATTATCTTCCTCATTAGGGTAATCGTTATCATCATCATCTGAATCCCGGTCCAGGTATCCGTTAATTCTCCGTTTTTTGGAGGGTTTGTCGCCGTCGTCGTCCTCCGAGGAGGATACTGACGCGGCGGGCGCGTGGTACACGCGCCGGAAGCGGCTCCTCTGCGGAGCGGTAGATTCGGACTCGCTCCCGGCCTGGAGCTTGAGCAGTTGCTCCAGCTTCTTCTCCCTCCGGCTCCGGTTCTCGTCGTCGGTGAATAGGTCGTCGTCGTCGAAGTAATCGTCGAGGTCGAAGACGTACTTCACATTCCGGCGGCGAAGGCTGCGCCGGAGGTCGTTCTCCGGCTGCTGCTTCTGCTGCGGCGGCGGCGGAGGCGGCGGAGGCGGATCTCGAGTGCCTCGATCTGCTTTCGGCGGCCTTCCTTTCTTCTTCCTCTTCACGATCTGCTCCATCATAATCCCCCTTTCGTGGAGAATCTTCACTTCACCCCTAGCTAGGGTCTTTCTCCCTCTGCAATTTTCTCTGTCTGAGAAAAAAAAGGGTAAAAGCAGCAATCTTTCAAAAATAATTCTTTTTTTCTGCTGTCTTTTCTCTCTCCTCCTTTACTCCATTATTGTTCGGTGAGTTGTGGCTCAGATGCAGTGCGCATAATGTAGAAGCAAAAGGCCTGAGTCGGTGAGTGTGAGTGTGGCTACACATTAAACAACGTCGTTCAATTAGCGGCGCGTGTTTGTTGAGCGGCGGGTGAGCGCGCGTCGCCATGTTGCTCTGCTTCTTTTTCACTGTGTGTGGGGGACCACAACGTTTGATTTAGTCAAAGTAGTGTCTGATTATCTGTGCCGATGGCATTTACTGATGTATGTATGTATGTATGTATGTATGGTGATGTTCAAAAAGTTGAGCGATGGCCGTCGTCCACAAGCTGTATCAAATGTGGGGATGCTTTTAATAACGTCATTATTTTGTGGGTGTGGAAGCAAAACATCCCTATTCCTCGCGATCTTATGTTTTTACAAGACTCATTATTGCTAAATGTCCGAAGAGTTTCTAACTGTTGGATCAACTGAACGGTTACATGATGATCTAACAATTATAAATCCTGATGAAATGATTCTGTAACGGGACCGTACCATCTCTCTTTATTTCTTATTTCATGTAGGAAAAGTAGCACTTGAATATGTTTTTATTAAGAGTTGTGTTTGTATACAAATATATCCTCAATTAATTAGACTTAATTTTGAAAAAATTATATGGTTCATTGTTAATGTATTTTGATTTTATAATTAAAATAATATTTAAAATAAATAATTAAAATTGATTTGACGTAAAAAGAGGAGAAATATGAAATAAAATTATAGTTAATTAAAATTATGTGAGTTGATGAATAGTAAATAAAAGTTGATGTGATGTAAGAATGATTGGTTGTTATTATTTAACTAGTATTCGACATGTGCATTTTCACAGATATATAAATAAAGTATTGTGAGTTATTTGTATTTATATAATGATCAATGATTTTTGCCAAATTTACAATTAAATGAGCTGAAATATTTATTTTTTAAAATTGTGTTTATCATATTGGATGCAATGTATATTTTGATTTGTATCTTTTTTTTGTGAAATTATTTATTATTTATTTAAGAATTTCAAATACGTTTTCTATTTTCCAAAAGAAGTTAATTTAAATGTAACCACAATAATAACATCTAATCACATTAAAGAGTCAATACATTATATGATCAGTTGTAAGTAAATGAAAAATTTAAAATGATATTTGTAATTTTGAAGTGATTAGACCATCTCCAACCGAAAAACCTATTCTCAAACTCATTTTGCAGTAACTGTCACATTAAACAGTAATTCATCTCCAACCGAAAAATTCATTCTCAAACCCAAAAGAATATTCTCTCTTTTACATCAACTTTTACAAATTTTCAATACTACCTACATATTTTATAAATTTACAAATTTAAACACACTATTATTTTTAATTTGATTTGGAATTTATGTTGTAAAATTAATTATAAATTATAATTCATATACATAATAAAATCGGGTAAAAATAAATTTTACCTTAAAAACGGTGTTATAATTTTAATTTTTTAGCACTAGTTTCAGGCAGTGTTTTGTGACCCGGACCGGCCCGGCGGGTCGACCCGGGACCCGGTCGACCCGGAGCCGGAACCGGTCCGGGTGGGTTAATTAGACCGGGCAACAACGGACCCGGCCAAACCCGGTCAAAACCCCGTCGACCCGGCCTTGACCCGGTCGACCCGGGACAATGACCCGGCTGGGTCAACCCGGTTGACCCGGTCTATATGTATTTTTTTATTTTTTATTTTTGTTTTTAAATTTTCTTTTTCTTTTTAAAAAATAAAATTATGTATATATATTTATATAATAAATATATACATATTATTACCACTTTAATCTACAAATTTTACATACAAAATATTTAAATTTGTTATTTTTATGTATATTTATATATCACAAAATACTCTATATATAATTTTATAAATTTTAAAATTAATTATCCGGTTCAGCAATTGACCCGGTGACCCGGCGGTTGAACCGGTGACCCGGTGACCGAAGACCTGCCCGGGTCGATTACCGGGCCGGATTTAAAAACTATGGTTTCAGGATTTATAGATTTTACATATAAATATTTGATAGAATCATATTTGTTACTACAAACCATTATACATCTCAAATTTGTTGAACTTTATTATATAAAAAATCCGTTACATCAAAATAATTAACCATTTAAAAATTACTTGAATGTATACAAAATTATTTCGTATGTAACGAAATTAATTATTAACATCAAAGTCTAACTTTTTTGTAGATAAATTACTTAAAAATATTTGTAAAAATGATTAAATATTTTATGAAAATATTTTCATGGTTATTGAATTGAATTTATTGACAAGTTTTTTGAAATTACCATCTTTTTGTAACATTCAATATAAATTATTTCAAAATGATTGCCCGAATAATTTTAAAAATATTTTATAGTAATTATTTTCATGACTATTAGATTGAAATTTTTATACATAATAAATGAAGTTTTTGTATACATAATAAATCAAATATTTTTTAGTTACGTAGCTATTTTTTGTATGCTCCTTTAGTGTGTTAATATATATATTATATATGTGTATGTATATATATATATATAACATTTTTTTTTTCAATTTTTATGTCATATTCTTAGTTATTATACTTGTCAATATGTTTTATTATTCTAAATTCAGAAAATAATAAAATAAAAAAATTCAAGATAAATATTATTATAACATGTTTTAAATAACCAAAAAAAGAATTCTCAGTCCCTTTCGTCCGAAAAAAGAAAAAGCCAAACCCTAGTGCCTCCCTCATCGTTTCTCGTCGCCTTCCTCGGCGGCGGTGCGGCGCCGGCCGGTGGTCGCGTTCGACCGCCGCCCCTCCTCTGTTTCTCGGACATCTGATGTTGCCGTGGTGTGCTGATGCTAGTCGGACTGCCCAGGCCTTGTTCGTCGTGGAGGTTGCAATTGGAGGCGGCGAGCCCTTTGGTGGTCGATTGGCCTGCATTTGGTGCGTCTTTTGCCCGTCGGTCTCGATTGTAGGTGAGTCTCCCTCCATTTTTGGCACATGTTCCTGTCTCTGTATATTTTGGTGCAAGCGGTGGGCCTTCGGGCTGCCCCTTTTTTCCGGCGTAACCCCGTCTGGGGTTCTTTTCACTCTGGAGCCGGTGGTCTGCGAAGATTTTGGGGTTTCCTTGTCTGGTGTTGAAGGCCTGCGAATACATTGGATGGTTTGCGGGTTGTGAGGCGGGGCGGGGCACTGACGGTGTGTCGGTGTCGAGGGCCTGAACCGCTACCCCCCTGTTCCGACTAGTGGTGTTAGACGGCGGGGTTCTGGCGCTCCGTTGCTCGGCTAGTGGTGTTAAAAGTGCTCGGGCGGTGCTAGAGTGGGTGTTGTTTCGGTGCCCCGCGGTTGAGGTGGGTCGTTTCGGTGACTGATTTATGTTCGGGCTCGTCTTCTCGTATAGGCTTTATTGCAGTTTCGGAAGTCGTCCCCTGAACTTGGATCTTTCTCGATTTTGGCAGTTCTCCGCTGGTTTGGGCCGACTGTGCTGCTGTGGAAGGGACTTTGTATTTAGTTTTGTGTCTGTTATCTGTGTTTGTGTCTGTTTAGTCGGTGTTGTTGTGTCTGGATCTTTGACCAGGTTCGGGGGCGGGGGCCTGCCTTTTGTATAGGCCTCGTGCAGTTTCGGGGGCGGGTCTTGGCTAGGGGCCGGTTGAGGATCAGATATAGCTTCTCTTTTGTTGTTTGTGCTTCTTGTTTTTGTGTGGTTTTGGTCTGGGAATGATTTCAGGCTAGGCAGTGTGCAGTGGTTATGTTTATCATTTGTCTTTGTTTTCGTTTGTTGAATTATCTAGGCCGCTTGCGCGTCCTCTCAGTTTATGTTTTCTTGTGTTTAGGTGTGTTTTTTGTTTGGGCCGTTGGCCCCTGTACTATTACTCTGTTGGGGCCTTTCATTACCCTTTTGGGGTCTTGTAGTCTGTATTTTTGTCTTTGTGCTTTTAATAGATCATCTATCGTTTTGGAAAAAAATAAATAAATAATATATTAGTCATCAAAACATGTCAAATATATGTAATAAATGAAATAAATAAATTTTATATACCAATATATTAAAATATGAATAAACAAGGACTAAAATGAAATTCCAAAAATATTTTACAATAAGGAACAATAAGAACACAATTATACGTTTTTAGAGAGAGAAAATGGTTAGATACGCATTTTGCGATTGAGATTGAAGTTTAGTTGGAGCAAAAATTTCATCCCATTATGCGTTTTGCAGCTCCATTGGAGTTGGTCTTAGTGTGTTGATTATTTAATAATTAAATGAGAGGTTAAATATATAAAAAGTAACGGTATTTGGATGAAAAAAATTATATTGCCACATAGGTATAATTTAATAGGTTCTATTAAATGCTCATTAGCCAACAATTATATATATATGATATTGATAATATTGAAGATTATGGAGTTGAGTTAAAGTTGAGTTAGATCTTAGCTAATGAATTTAATATTATAATGTGATGTAATCTATTAATATATAAAGAGACAATGATATTTACTTGAAACAGGAACTAAAAATCAGCAAAAAAAACATTTGATTTTCCATCTAAAGTATTTACTATGAGTAATATTTTTTGCTAAAATTTGAAAATCTCGCCTAAATTAATGTAATTAATATACAGGATCATTTTGGTCAAATATTGCGGATATTACCTTTATTAGTTGCACGATTTAAATTTAAAATGTAATATGTTGACAAAATTTGCAGCTACTACCTTTATAGTTGCATGATTTAAATTTGGTATATAATATGTTAAAATAAATAATAAAAATTACAAAAAAAAAAAAAAAATAATAATAATTCATAATTTGCGGGTCAATATTCACTTGGACGTAAACGAAATAGTCAACTATTTATAGTTTAAGAAGTTACTCAATAACTTACGGGTCAATATTAACTTGGACGTAAGCGAAATAGTCAATTATTTATAGTTTAATATATTACTCAACTACTTAACTTTTTTTAATTGAATAACTGATATAAAAATAGATTATGTTAAGTAATGAAAAAATATAAATTTTATATTTATACTTATTATTCACATAGGTTGTTAAATAACTATTTTATAGAATCACATTATAGTCAAATTAAATTTTTGAATAAAATTTGTGAAATGATACTTATTTTGAAACGAATATAATGTGATTTATTATCAATTATGTGCACCACACGGGTTGTGTACTAATTTTAAACAAACACTTTTATGTGATTTTGTACAATTTAAACTTTACATAACATTTTCAATAAATTAGAATAGGTAATTGTATTACATATTGATTCCATATTTTTAATTTATAAATATTACTTAATAAGAATCTTTAATTTATAAATATTAGTAAATATCTTTTACCCGTGCACTTCACAGGACTCATACTAGTATAAATAATAAGAAATATTATATCATGTGGTGGAAATATAGTAAATAATGTTCATTTATATAAGATATTGTCCGGGGACCTATTTGTACTTTCATAATATAAGATGTCAATAGTGGTAACATCCTTCTGGCTCATGAGATGATTTACGACATTTTCCATGCGGATCGATTGTGAATCCCGAACCTTGCACTGAAGCTAGACATGGCTAAGGCGTATGATAGGGTCGAGTGGTCATTTTTTAGGGAGGTATTGGTTCGGATAGGTTTTTTGGAGCGGTGGGTCAGTTTTATGGAGGCGTCTGTGGAGTACTACACGTTCTCGGTTCTGGTTAATGGCAGTCCCATTGATTTCTTCTCTTCTTCTCGGGTCTCCGACAGAGGGACCCCTTTCCCTCTAGTTTTATGTTATGGCGGCAGACTACCATTTTCGTTGACTTGACGTCTTCATCCGTGATAACACGAGGATGACCTACAACACTCGTGGTTTGGTCCTCTCATCTCGCACCTCTCTTATGCGGATGATATCATTATCTTCACTCGTGCAGATGATGAAGGTTTAGTCGAGCTTATGCACCTTCTGGAGCACTATGGATCAGTCATCGGTCAGCTCATCAGTGTGCAGAAGTACACCTTCATTCTCTCTCTTCATGTTGTGGACCGGTGGGTGCAACAGGTCTACTGGCGTACTGGTTTCGCGCAGCGACCTCCCCATCACCTACCTCGGCACCCATATGTACAAGGGCCATATCACAAGAGCGTTCTTTGCTAGCATCAGGCATAAGATGATCGACCGGATCTCTGGTTAGTCGCATAGACATTTCTCTTTTGGGGGTCGGCTCGCACTGATTAAGAGTACCCTTAGCACCCTTCTAATTCATCTTCTTATGGTCCTCGATCCCTCTAGATCCACTTGTTAGTGTTATATACTGAAATTTTGTCTTTGGATGATATTATATTTTTCCCTTTATGAAAGAGATCCATGTTAGATTAAACAAGTTCTACGTTCCATTGTTTTGCAATTAAATAGTGTGGGTCGTCATCGGGCGAACCGAAGATCATTCTATCAGTTACTTGCGAAACAAGAATAGTGGTTACAACCTAGATGGAAATGAACACCCCATCTGAACGATTGTAGTGTCAACGGTACAGTTTGTCTTGACTGATTAGTTGCACTAGTACATTTATGTATTGAACAGGATCCCACATAGGAAAAGTTCGTTTTATACTGATCATCGTAAATGAACTAGGCCTCGGTTAATTACTGCGTTCTCTTAACATATAATATATTAAACATACATATATATATGCAGTATATATTATTTTGATTCACATGGGTGAGGTTCAATACACTGGATTAATATTCCTACTGTCATGGGTAATATTGTTGTATATATGATGTGTTGTTAGAATATTTACGGTCACCATGTACGTTTAGTTTGATGACGTCCACAGAGTGAGTTCATGAAGGATTTTAATGTTAAACCCTGCAGGTGGATTAAATTCCGGCATAGTAATAATGTGATAACGAGCACTAGCTTCAGTGAAATAATAATATATTAATTAATTCTTGATTGTTAGTAATCCAATTAATTAATGGACATTATATCTTAAACATAAGAGGTAATTCGGTAATTATTGGAGTCTCAGTTCTAAGTTAGGCTAGGAAAATGAAGTGCAATAATATTATTTTAGTAGCCTATAATATTATTTAATTAATTAGATGAGTGGGTTTGGCCCACAGTTGGTCTAATTACTTAAGAAGCTCTATCCCTAATTTCCTAAGGGTCCATACTGTAGCTCTATATGTACACCATTAGGCTCATGGAAAAGAAAAGAAGAGATTAGAATTATCCTAGGTGAATACAACAAACACGTCCGACGTCTCTCTCTCTCTCTCTCTCACTCTCTCTCTCTCTATCTCTTTCTCTCTCTCTCTCTCTCTCTCTCTCTCTCTCTCTATTCTCTCTCAGTTTTCTGTTCGAGCTTTATCTTCTTCTTGTTGCTCCATCGATACGAGATGAAGAGGTGTTTGAGATATACATTAGAAGATCTAGAGGTTATTGAGATACATATATTCACCAACCCCGTGATCAACTAGAGTCGAACAAGCGACGAGCCCGACCTGTCGGACCGCCAACCTGATGAGCCAGAACCGCTGCGAGCCGACCCCAGCCAGACTACCGCGATGTACCACTCGGACGACGCCGAGACGCGTGACCAGCCCGGACGACCGCGATGCGCCACCCTACGACCTGACCCTCACGACCAGCCCGACACGATCGACCCGTTCGTGATCCCGAAGCACTCGTATGCTCATCCAGGTCAACTCGAATCCGCCAGATTCAAAAAATTTTATGCCGTAAGTTTTCTATGTCAAACCTTTAGATCCACTGCGCATAGATTCACGTTTGCTATTGAATTCGTGACTTGTACATAATGAGATCCTCATAGATCCCAACACCACTCTCCATGAGCTCGTCAAATCGTGGCTCGTTATTTATGGGGACACGGGGACGACTCTCGGTGGGGGGGACAACACCACTAGGTGAAGTGGACTCTGTTTGTCGACCTTATACCGAGGGTGGTCTTGGGATTCGCCGTTTATCTTACGTAGTCACCACCTTCTCTTATACGATGTGGTGACACTTCAGGAGGGAAAGTTGCATTGGGCTCGGAAGCGCTACCCTAGAGGTGCATGTCATCCCTAGGGTGACAACCACCAATAATGATAATAGACAGTGGAGGTGACTTACCAGGGTAGGTAGGTATGTCCATGATCACATGTTATGGACATTGGGTGAAGGGAATGTTAGCTTCTGAGACGAGTGGTGGTTTGGTGATGGGCCATTTTCGAGATCTAAACAGGTCACTCACTCTCTTTCCCTACGAGTGAAGGACATGTGGGCCATTGAGACGTGGGATAAGGATAAGTTGGAGAGGTAGTTATGTACTAGATAGGGTTTTAGTAACCAATTATTAGAGAAAATCTAGCAGATTTCCATCTCGGAGGGCGAGTCGGACGGTATGAGGTGGAGACTTAAATCTTCGGGTGCTTTCTTTACAACCTTGGCTTGGGGGGAAGTTCGGCTGGGTGACCAGCCTAACATTTTCTTTGGGGCCATTTGAACCGACATGCTTACTATTGAAGCACAAATTGTTATATTTACCGAGTACCGAATCTAAAGATTCGTTCCCCGGGTCGATCTCACGAGGAAGGCTGTTCGGAATTTAGCTTTGATATTGATAACACATAAAAGCAAATAAAATCCTAAACATACTAATAAGATAAGGGGGTTTGAATAATTATCAGCTAAGAAATAATAAAAAGCAATAACCTACCTAAGAAGATAAACGAAATAAAGATGAAGAAGCTAGGGAATCGGGGACAATTAATTCAAGTTCTAGCAAAATCGGGCAATTCATTGTTCGGTTCGAGATTGACACTCTCGCTTAGACATCCAGCGGTTCGCTCCCAATAACTCTTCGTAACAAGGGATTGAACATAGACGAACAAGTTCGAGCATACAACACAGGCCAATTATCCCAATCCCAATAACTTTTCGTAACAAGAGATGGGTCATCGACAAGTGCGTATTTCAATCTAAAACACGTAGATTAGTCAATTACGACATCGTCTACCTCATGTGAGCCTAGGTCAACGACTTCTCCCCTTTCGGTTCTACAAGTCGCTAATTAACTAGAAGGTGCTTAATCAACTAATCACATAGAATCAACAAAACCCTAACTCGACTAATCAACATTCAATTGTTACCAATTGCAAGATCGAAGTGTCAGTCTTCGATTATATCAATCAATCAAGCAAGATTATATCAATCCCTAATCAAAACAACTCACACAAGAATGAACAATTTCAAGCCCGAGAGATACACGTTAAACAAGAATAATCATTCCCCTATCCCCAGCGATACGAATTAGCTACGCATATTGAATTCAACAAAATAAATCAATTCTCCAAATTTAATCATTATTCATGAATTGAACAAGAGAGAAAAGCTTACAATCAATCCAAGGTCCAAAGTCGAATTCGTAATACAAGCTTAATCCGAAGACGAAAGAGAAAAAAAAATGTAAAATAAAGATAAAAAGAAGAAGAAAGATGGAGAAGAGGAGAAGAGAAGAATAAGAAGGGAAAGTGAAGGGGGAAGGTGATTTTCGGACCTAGGGTTCCTCCCCCTTCAAGCTGGCAGTGAAAGAATGGAGAAGAAAACGAGTTTTTGGGGTTTTTATACTATTTTGGGACCTGCAGGGGACCTTAGCGCCGCTAAGGGGGGTTAGCGGCGCTAAGGGATGAAAGCTGCGAGTCTCTGGGGTCCCTAACATGGTCTAGCGCCGCTAGATAAGTGAGCCTTAGCGCCGCTAAGGTGTCTGGGCAGCGCGACTTTGCGTTTTTGGCTCGTTTGGGCTCGTCCGAACTCGGAATTGAGCTCCGTTTTTTCCTACGCGTCACTAATGAACCCCTTTATTAAATGAAGCTTGAATGGCCAAATTATTCTTGAAATACAATTCTCACAAATCTCTTGACCATCACACTAAAGGCGTGATTCGCGTGCGACTTCACGCGACTTCGCGTTTGGGCCCGCCTGGACTCATACGAACTCGAAATCGAGTTCCGGTTTTTCCTATGTGTAGACAACGAACCCATCTACACAACCATGGTTTTCCAGACTAAATCTATTCCTCACGGGGCCTCCGACCTGCACAATTAAAAATAAGAAGAAAACGGGAAAAATACACGAAAAACACAAAGGAAACCAAAATAAAGGAAAACACACCATAATCAACAAAATGAACTACAAACCAACAAAAACACCTAAAATGGGGGAAAAGAATGACAAAACAACAACGAAAAATGCAACAAAAATGGGACAAACAGTACTAGTGCAGCTAATCAGTCAAAACAAACTGTACCGTTGACATTACAGCTGTTTACGATGGAGTGTTCATGTCCATCTAGGTTGTGAACCATTATTCTTGTTTCGCAAGTAACTGACAAAATGATCTTCGGTTCGCCCGATGACGACCCATCATATCTAAGTGCAAAACATCAGAACATAGAACTTGTTTAATCTAACATGATTCTCATTCATAAAGGCTAAATGTGTAATATCATTCAATGCCAAGATTTCAGTATATAACACTAACAATCTGTCATCTGATCTGATGTCGAGAGAGAGGTTCTAGCCGTGTATATATATATATATATATATATATGTATATATATATACATACAAAAGATTAGGGTTTTTCTCTCTAAGAAACTAAGGCTAAAATAGTAAATACATAAGATATAATGTACACTAACACGTTTTCCACGTCCCTCTTCTGGCCTCCTCGAGGTACGACGCAGAGATTCAGGTGCTTTAGATAAGTCTTCAGATTGCAGCCTCTACCTATACTCACATTTGGATTAAGCTGGATGTTGCCATTGTCGCCACCCTCTTGACCTTGGGCCACCAGAGCTAGTGGCAGATTCAGCACCCCTCGTGCGATCAAATCCACACTTCAGTTGGTTCGCTACTTGATCTCGCAGATTTTCAGCGAGGGAAACCGACCCGCCGACTACCTAGCTAGCCTTAGGGCTGGTATGTTTTGACCGAAAACCGAAAACCAAACCGAATCGAACCGAACCGAACCGATGTGCTAAAAAACCGAACTGAACCGACTCATTTTTATTGGTAACCGAATGTCGGTAACCGATAAGTTATCGGTTCGGTATCGGTTCCGAACCCAATAAGGTTCGGTAAAACCGAACCGAACCAATAAGCTAAAAAAAAAAACTTAATTTATATATATATATGAAAGTAACAGGAGAAAATTCAGAAAACCTATGTTATTCAACTTATTTTTCTTCTTCGTACAAGACTTCTTTGAACAAATTAGGGCAGCGCCGTAGACTCGTCACCCATGCCATCCACCATCCACCGCTGCAGACCCGTGCCATCCGCCACTACCTCCGCCTCACCAAGCACCAGGTATTTTATTCTTATCCGCTGTGAGAGAATATTGTGATAAAAGAGATGAAAGCTTAAAAGGGGACCTGAAAATAAGTTTCCAGTTTCTTTTTCAGATCAGCATATTCCTTCTTAATTTGTTGGAAAGTTTTCTTGCATCAACACAAAGGGGAAGAATTAAATATTAAATATTATATATTAAAAAAATTAGTGAATCTTGGTGTAAATTGATAGTTATGATTAAACATTATAGCATATAAATATAGCAGGATTAAGACAAATTAAGTATCAATAATGAAATAATGAAACAATTAAGTATATAAACATTATAGCAAATTGATAGTTATGATTAAAGATTATAGCATATAAACATCTGCAGTGTTCTTTGAACTGTGTGGACTCAGTTTTAAGTTTTTAACCTTTCGGGCTCCAATGCTGCATCAATTAAGTATCAATAATGAAATAATGATATTTTAATCAAAGCCTTAACATATTTTAATCCATGTATAAATCACATTTTTAATTTACTCGTTTTCCTTAATAAATACCTTGAGCTGCTGCCTTTGAACTGTTGCATAAGTCCATCCAGCTTAGCAATCCGGCATGATTCGTCTCCCTCTCCCTCTCTTCATGTATGTGTTTATTTATTATCGATGTTCTCGGTTTAATTTGATATATATACTTGATTTTGTATTAGGAATGGAGAGTCAAAGTGTGAGTTCAAGTAATCCGGCTCTAAGCACAAATGAAATGAAAGACGGAGATAATCAAACTCAAGAAATCTCAAGAAACACGAATGTTTCATAAAAAAACAATACCAAAAAGAGAAAGGAGAGGAGCATTGCTTGGGATCATTGTGTTAGGAAAATTATTCACGATGACGAAGGAAATGAGGAGATGTTTGCTATTTGCAAACATTGTGAATTACAAATGTCGGCCGATTCGAAAAGGAATGGAACTAGAGGCATTCTTAATCATTTGTATTATAGGTGTGAGAGTTCTCCTCTTCGCATGGTGATGGACAAGAGCCAACCCACATTAACTCAGTCGATGATGGGAGGTGAAGTAAAAATTTCCGACTTCAACCAAAAAAGACTCGACAACATGTGTGTGAAGTGGATTATCAAAGCGGAGATGCCATTTCGAACCGTAGAGTAACCGGACTTCAAAGAATTTATTCATGATCTTCAACCTCGTTATAAGATTCCTAATTGGAGGAAGATTGCGAATGACATGTGGAGTTTATTTTGCGAGGAGAAAGCAAAGATCAAAAGCATCATTGGTGATCTCCGTGTGAGTATCACAACCGATACTTGGACCTCTATCCAAAATATCAATTACATGGTGGTGACGGTCCATTTTATCGACTCAGATTTCCATTTACACAAGAGGGTGCTCAACTTTTGTAAGATTACTTCTCATAAGGGTGAAGACATAGGAAGGTGTCTCGAAGAGAAGTTGGTCGAATGGGGCATAAGTAAGGTGTTTACCGTTACTGTAGACAATGCGAGTTCCAATGATGTGGCCGTGGAGTATTTGAAGAAGCAACTCCGGAAGCATGATAGTGATAGTCTTATGCTTGATGAAAACTTGCATATGAGGTGTGCTTGTCACATAATTAACATGATTATGAAGGATGAAATGAAAGAGTTAGTAGATTCCATTGAAGTCATCCGAAATTGTGTGAAGTATATTCACTCTTCAAGTCCGAGGTTGGATAAGTTTCGGGAGTACGCGGTTTTAGAGAAGAAGGACAAAATGTCCACTATCCCGATGGATGTTGTGACTCGGTGGAATGCCACATACATCATGCTTCATGGTGCTTACAAGTTTAAAGGTGTCTTTGCAAGGATGGTGGAAGAATTTACGCCATTTAAGACATACTTTGAAGATGGAAGAGTGTGGCCTCAGACGGATGAAGATTGGGAAAAGGCTATGGGATTTGCACATTTTCTCCAGAAGTTCTATGATGCCACCATCAAGCTTAGTGCCACCAAGACTCCGACCTCGCATCTTGTTCTAAAAATCTTGATAAACTTTAAGATTGAGATTGAGGCTAGAATTAGAAATCAGAAAAATATTGTGTTGCAAAATGTGGCTACATCCATGAAGAAGAAGTTTGATAAATATTGGGGCTCTTTGGAAGATATGAACATTTTAATGTTTGTAGCCCAAACCCTTGATCCAAGATATATGTTTCAATTGATGGAGTTGCAACTAGGGGAGCTTGGCTACACTCCAAATGATGTTGAGCACCTCAAGAGTCGGGTGAAAAGACACTTGTATCTTATGTATGAAATTTACAAGGGAACAGAAAAATCATATGTGGATGTGCATGAGGATGTGGATGATGGTGTTGATCTTGGTGATGATGATGGTGATGATGATGATGATGTGGAAGTTCGGATAGAGCGAAGACTTAATAAGCAAAGAAATGAAGCAAAACTCAAAGAGATAGCTAATGAAATTGAAAGTACTATAATGATGCATATGAAAGTACAAAGAATGATGATTTCGACTTATTGGGGTGGTGGAAAAGTAAAATATCAAACTACTCTATTCTTTCCAAAGTTGCTAAGGATGTACTTGCTTTTCCTACTTCAACCGTTGCTAGTGAAAATGCCTTTAGCCTTGGAGGAAGGATTGTGGATCCGTTTAGAGCTTATTTGACATCTAGGATGGTCGAGGCCTTAGTTTGCACAAATAATTGGCTTAAAGGAGATGAATTTCAATTTCACAAGGAGCCTACGGAAGAAGAGCTTGAGTTCTATATGGAACTCGAACAATTGGAACAAAGTAAGTAACAATTTTATTAATATTTTGAAATTCATATTGTGCATGAAATATTTTTTTGCTTATTGACTTCATTGTAATATTTTTATAGATTTTCTCAATACAAATGAAATGCCACCACCTCCATCTAAAAGCGCAAATTTACCCGAGTCCGGAGTTAGAAAATTACCGTCACATCCATCTCGAGGGGGAAGAGTTCGGTCAAACCGTGGTGGACGTGGCGGTGGTGCTACATCATCGAGAAAATTAATAGATGAGGTTCTTGTTCTTTATTTTTATTATAATTAGTGTTCTTTCTTTTAAACTTTGATAATATTATTTTTATTATCTTAATGCATTATTATTTTTTTCTTATGTAGGAGTAGACGAGCGGTGGACGAATGCTTTGATTTTGAGCTATTTTATAATTTTATTGGTGATGAATTGGATATATTGTGACTTGTGACTGTGAGTTGTGAATTGTGATTGGTATGAAAATTTCTTTCTATTCTTTATCACCCCATAATCATATTTGTGTTGGGATTGTGATTGATTAATTTGTTTGATGGAAATAGCATGGTGAACTTGTAATATGATTTGGATATGGTGTGGTGTGTAATGTGTTTTGTTGTGACTTGTGATTGGATATGGTGTGGTTATCCTTCTTTTTTTTTTTGCTATGTTCATTGCTTTTGTTTTGCTATGTTTTACTTTCCAGGTATTGTGTAATGGGAGCATGTTTCATAATGGTTGATTTTAGTTTTGCTATTGGGAGCATTTTTTTTTTTTTTTTTTTT